ACAACCTGTGAAGTCAAATTAGATGTGCACGAGGGCCTAATTAATAAATTAAATCAAACTAAATGAGTATTAAAAACAATATTATTGTCAGCTCTGCTGTTTTCACAAGGCTAATTCTTTTATTAAGCTTTATAACTGAATATCCTGAAGAAAGACGAAGGAAAAACCAAACCAGTCAGTCAATCCATCTGTAAATATTTACTTCACAAGAACTCAAATAAGCAAAATCAGCCTGATATTTTTGCACAATATTAAAACCACAAGCTCATGCGAAAAGTATTCAAGTCTTGAAATAACCAGCATATCCAAAGCAGAACATCCACAAATTCCCCAATCCGCTTTAAACAATTAAGACTTCAGAAGATAAAACAGCAATCCTTTAAAGGCTGCTTGAAGATGTGAGTCGGATAAGAAGAAAAAGAGAGCAGCATTCTTTCAATAGCAGCTGTCATGTCTCTGTAAGCTTAATATCAGAAAGAGGCTTTAATAACAACATTCCTGGCCTCTGTTTTTTTTTATCCTTCTCTACAGGTCACATCCAGAGGAACTCATTTCTTGGACTGGGACCTTGATCTATTTCGGGTCTGCCTGCTATTTATAGGACATTGTGTGCTTTAAAAGTGGAGGAACAGGGGATGTGAAGGGATCAGATGGATAAAGAGAGCTCGGAGAACTTCGGGTCAGACTCACAAAACTAATCCGGACACCCTTTATATGAATTAAGGAACGCTTGAATGAGAAATAGCTGAAGCTAATTGTTTTAACTGCGGCTTCAAATAGAGCCGTTTTGCGGTGATAAACTGAGACTGTGCAGGACTGGAAACATTGTGTTCCCTCCGAGTGACAATGTGAAATAAGGTTTGCTTTTATAGAAATAGCACATGAGCTTCACGTGTGCGGTCATACTTCACTAGTGAGTTCAACATGTGATTGCACATGAGGCTTTTCTTTAAGTGTGGACCTACAGATATTTTGATTTACATTTCAAAGTTCTGTTTAAACCCTTTTTTTTTCTACATTTTTTATAGTCACCTAGGGTCCATTTTCTTTTTAAAATGTATTAAGTCATTAAATAACTTTTAGTGGACTTACTGAATTTAACATGTTTGAGATTTTTTTAAGATTGGCTTTATTCAAGTTCTGATAACATTTGACTTCATTTCATTTTCCTTCGGCTTTATTCATCAGGGGTCGCCACAGTGGAATGACCCGCCAACTTATCAAGCATGTTTTACACAGCGGATGCCCTTCCAGCTGCAACCCACCACTGGAAAACATTCATTCACACTCATACACTACGGCCAATTTAGTTTATTTAATACACCTGTACAGCATGTCTTTGGACTGGGGGAAACCCACGCCAACACAGGGAGAACATGCAAACTCTACACAGAAACGGCAACTGGCCCAGCTGGGACACGAACCAGCGACCTTCTTGTTGTGAGGAGAAAGTGCTAACCACTGAGCCACCGCGTCGCCCCGGTCTGATAACATTTATTTTAAATACAAATATTGTCTTTTAGAGCTTTTTTTTCTGTTCAAAGTAACAATTGCTCAGAATAATAACACATTTTTATTACTTAAAATTTCCCAGTTCTGGGTTGCGGTTGGAAGGGCATCCGCTGCGTAAAACATATGCCAGAATAGTTGGCGGTTCATTCCACTGTGGCCTGATAAATAGGGGACATGGCCGAAAAGAAAATGAATATTCAAAATTGTAGCCAAAAAAACTGTGAAATGCAATGTACAAAATGTGTATTGAACATTGTTATTAATTTATTTTTTATTATGTACTGTTGTTATTTGAATTTATGTAGTTTATTTATTTTCACCTTTTTAATTATTTGTTTGATCCCTGATGCTTGAATATTTCCCTGATGCTTATCTCTATTTTTATTTATTTATTTATTTAGTTAGCTAGTTAGTTAGTTAGTTCTGAAGTTCAAAATAAATATATTTAGTTTGGTCCAAAATGTGCAATTATCCACTCCATATGAACTTTAAAAAACAGCAGTTTTGAATGAAAAACATACAGATTACTGTAAAACCATTGTTAAAACTTTGCAATCATCAGTATCGATAAACAACATACTACAATCCTACAGCACTCTAAACTGGCTTCCGTCAGTGTCATTAGAGCACAAAACAGACAGTGAATATGGCAGAAGAGTGGTATAACTCAAGCTGAATGCCAGTGTTTCCCCAGCCTGTGCAATGACACCGCTGTGATCTGCTATAATCCATCTCTAATAAAAACACATGTTCAGTGCTGTGTGTTGTGTGTGTGTGAGCATTAGAGTGTTTCCCTAGACTTTATTTAATGGTCAGAGGAGTTCCTGAATGCAGACAGATGCCAGATTAAGTGTTTCCGCTTTTTCTGTGTCTCTCCGCCAGTATTTAGTGTGCATATAACAGCTGCCATCAGTCATGGATTTATTTCATGCCATATTTTGAAGTGTTCTGCTGAGAAGTGCTGTGAGGAAGTGCTTACTGTTTATTATCTATATGCTTCTGTTGCTTAAAACAAGTCAAACACTTGAATTCTGTCATCATTTACTCCATTAGAAGATATTGTAATACTTTAAGATATTGTAATGCATACTTCTGTGCATTATACACATATATACACAGGTATTTTAAATAATGTCTCAAAACAAGCAAGCTCTTGTTGTATACATACACTTGTTTTCAGCATAACATTTCTTTAAAATAAAAAAAAATTAAAAATTAAACTATTATAAACTAAGAGTATGCACAAATATCTGTCCAGGTCAGTGTCCTCAGCAGTAATTAAGTGGAGAACTATAAAACAAATGTTACTGTAAGGAAAATAATTAAAACATTATGGTAAACCAAGTTAAAAATAGCATTTTAAAATAAAAAGTTATAGGTTTTATTGAGGTGAAATGTTAGTGATGGTCAGATTTAGTAGCTATACAAGAACAAAGGAAAATTAAGACCATTTTAATAAGATTTAAGACCTACAACACAATGTTTCAGCAAATGTAAAACTTTTTAAGGCCTACAATTTGGTTTTTGAGATTTAGGACGTTTTAAAACGTTTTAAAACCTTGCAGACACCCTGTATATTGTGTGTAATTTATTTACATGGAGTATTGTTTAAATGTTTATGAATTTTTAATCACCAAGGCTGCTTTTTTCATAAAAGAAATCACTTTTACTTGATTTACTAGTAACTTTGCAATATACTGCATTAGTATGCAGCTTAAATTACAATTTAAAGGTTAGTTAGCTAAATTAGGTTAACAGGTAAGCTACAGCACAAACATGGTTTGTTCTGAAGGCAGTGGAAAAAATTTATTTCTTAATGGGACTGATAAAAATGCCGATTTACATGTACTTTTCTCTTTTTTTATTCCAGCAAAACGAAAAGAAAGAGAGAGAGAGAACTTTGAGTTTATAGCCATATCAGCTTCTATGGCTGTGTCATGGCAAAATAAAATAAAATTAAAAAAAGATCAAGTTTATCACATTTTATAAATCACACTTTTCTAAAATTATAAAAATATTACATTAACAATTAAAAGTAATCAACAGCAATAAATACACAAGATAAAAATACATAAATAATAATAAATGACAACATATAAGTAGGGTTGTCATCATACCATAAATTTAGGCTAAGATACTACACCAGCTGAAGTATCACAACATCCAAGTAGTATCTATATTTTATGTGTTAAAATACTTAAATTTAAATCACAGTTCATTTATAATTTAGACCTTATACATATTTATTTGTACAGCTATTCTGTTTTATTTGTATATACTGTGACTGTTCTGTTCCATGTGCAACATTAACCGTTAGAACTGTCAATGATCATCCTACCGATTACAAACTACAGAGGCACCGCTAGTATTTTGCAGCCATAGCATCACGGTGCTACCGATAACCGTGCAACCCTATATATATATAAGATAAAAAATTGAAAAACTGTGTTTTAAGGTTTACTTTTGAAAATTGTACAATTTTAGAAGGATTTGCATTTAAAAATATTTAATTTAAAGTCTCTCCAGATAGAAATTGCTGTCTGATAACATAAAAAATAGGGCATTACACAATAATATGTTTAACAGTTTGGTTTCTGTAGCAATGTTGATATTTTGGGGTTCTTCTTCATTGAGTAAATGTTCATGTGTGAGTCTTGTGTGTCCAATACAGCATCTTCTGAAAACAATCTCATCATGTCTTGAACTAAAAAAATAAAAATTGGATTCTGTTCCTATTTCAGGTTGAATTTCAAAAAGTTTATTTTTCGAGCACTGATCCTATTCTGCTTGCCATTTGTTAAAATGTATTCAGGAAAACTTAAAGAAATAGGACTTTCTATAGAAGAGAAACATAATAGGAATTACAGTGAAACAGTAAAATAGTATAATAATATATTCTCTTATATATATATATATATTTGTTTATTGAGAAACCAAGTATTAAATAAACTAATATTATTATGCAATTTATTTTATTTGAATCATTTTTGGCCATTTCAAAGACCTTCACATGACTGATGGCTTGATTTTATGCCACTAATGAACTAAGTTCTTGCTGTGTTAAACATCACTTAGAAAATATCTAAAAGAATCAAAATTTCGAAGGAATGCTAATCATTTTGTCTTTAACTGCATTAGAGGCCTAAAACAGGCCTAAAACACTCAATTGAGAATAATAAATAAATACATTTTTGTCAATATTGCACACAAAATTAGCTTATAGGTGTTTAGTATCACATGAAACGCTTACAGTTAACGGTTAATAATGACAGCATTTTTTGTGAGCAAACATAAGGTGAAGTGTGCAGTTCATGTCTAAAGCAGCACCATACAAAACTCCCAAGATTTTTTTTTCCCACACAAAATCAAGTTGTATATGCCTCCTATGATGCTTAAGTGCTAATATAAGTAATATTTGTTTGAGAAATACCAAGTTTTTTGTGCATTTGAGGTAAAAAAAAAAAAAGTTTTCCACAGTGTCTGCACACCTTGAGCTTCATCGGTATAAGAGGTAACTGATAATACGGTTGGGAATATCCAGTTTTCCCACCACATCTTCAGCATTGGTGCCCAGGACGGTCCTCAGAGTAATACGGCAGATCTGCTGCAGAGAAAGAGGAGAACCTGCAGAAAAATACAAGATCATGCAGCATTTAAATCAGTAACACTATCATTCATTAACACACAAATAGGTTTTAAACATCAGAAGTAAATAATTCAACTCATTTAAAGCTTATTTGTATAACACTTTTCAAAATAATTACTGTTTCAAGCAGCTTTACAAAAAGTACACACCACATTATTGCATTACAATTAAAGACAAAGTTAAGGTGTTTAGTTACCATGTGTTTATTAGTAACTAATAACTAATTAACTAGTAACTAAGACCTTTAACGGTTATTATATATAAACATAGTTAACCTGCAGTTATATAGAAGCTGATGTCTATGTGTACATGTTCAATGGAGAGTATGTGTTGGGCCTTGTCATTTTGTGTGGCCATGCTTTTACTGTCAAGTGCCATTTCTGCTAATCCCGTGTATATTTTGACATTGCATTTGGTTTCTATGGAAGGCAAACACGATAAAAGAGAGCATTCCAGAAGATAAAACTATCTTGTATGATTAAATTCAAGACCAGGACCTTCCGTCTTATCATTCGATACACACAACCTGAATGTCTGCAGTGTCGTTTTCATTCTCTCCACTCTCTAAATACCATTACAGGAAAATATTTACTTGCTCCTAGGCCACGGATTCTCATTAACGTGGTTTACATTCTGAAGAGGGGCACTGGATCGGGTCTTGAATATGTGTTTTGCGGATGAGAGTTATGACGGATTCCAGACCAACAGCTTGATTTTAATCTCATCATCATAAACTTCAGGTAATTGTTTACAACATCACATACAAAACATCCTGAACTGCACCAAGGCAGCAGAGCCGGCTGTGCATCACTGCTGCGTCAGGTGTAAAATACAACCAAAACACCACTAGAATCATAACATTTAAGACTAACATAACATAACATAATTCAACAGTTGGAACATTTTAAATCTTACCAGGAGAACAGAGAACACACTGAAGGAATGAACTGATGAACCACATGAACTAAACCGTGCTAAACCATTGATAAACCATGAGCACCATCTGCTGGACATTTCCCACAACTGTTATTTAAACGACTTCAGTCCAAAGTTTATTTAGTTTGATGTAATTCATTTAAAGTGCATTTAGTTTAATGTAATTCAGCAAATTTATGAATTAGGATTTTGTAAAGATATAGAAATTATAAACAGCTATACAAAAATGGTATTTTAAATCTGTATTTTTAAAATGAAATGTCGCATTATAACTATAAACTAGATAAATATGTTGTGTAAACTACTGATAACAATTCTTCCAAATTATTACAATTCCAAATTATTGTGCATACAATAACAATAAGGTGGTATGCTTTAAAACGTTTCCTTTATTTCCATAAAATAAATAACTATTTAAAAAATGTATTCTATATTACAAAGTAAAAGTATACCATAAAATAGTTCATATAGCAAATGTAACCCATTTTTAAAATACAATTACTATATAATAACAATTAGGGCTGAAAAATCTGACATAGCGATATTTCCTTTTTCTGCAATAAATATTGCAATATCAATACAATTTTATTAGACACCTTAAATAGCTCTGTTGGTGAAAAAAAAATCACTAATTTAGACGGGTTGGGTTGATTCTGTAAGGTTGTAAATCATGTATAAAAAATAAAATTGCAAGGAAAATTACAATAGAGCAAAAAAAAAAAAAAAATTAAATACACAGTTCTTCATGGTTTTTCGGAGAGCCAAACAGTATTCAGATGCAGAAATGTATTATGTAGAATAAGACTGTATAGTCTTCATTGTATTAATAATTCAGTATTATTATTCTTCGTTAAAGTTACAAATGTTGTACGCCATTGTGCCCGAATGCTTTACACTTTCTTGAAATGCCTTTAAAACACATGCAGACAATTACATTTCACTTTGTAATGGTTATACTTTGCAATGACTCCACAAATCTCATGTACTCTCAATTGTTGATTAACTATAATCCCAACTAAACATTGCATATCCTGCGATGTGACTATTGCGGACACACACATTGCGATATCGATGCTGAAACGATATATTGTGCAGCCCTAATTACTATAATACATTTCTAATAACTATAAACAAATTTTACACAAACACAAACTACTGCCTTGCACTATTATGTCTTTCTTTCCTTTTTTAAATTCCTTTAAAACCTGTTTTACACTTTTTAACATACGTTTTATTCTTCAATTTGATTTCTTATACTTGTATTTTATGTGTCTTTTATTCTTGTTTATGTAAAGCACTTTGAATTACCATTGTGTATGAAATGTGCTATGTAAATCAACTTGCCTTTGTCTTATTAATTTGTAAGGCGAGGTTTTAATGTTGACATGCACTCACTCTCATAGAGCTGAAGGCAGTGCGCTGAGGGTGTGTTTGGCCTCGTGTAGTCCACTGGCTTCCTGTCATATTTGTCTCGGGCGTAAATATTGGCACCAAATTCCACCAGCATCTCAATCATGTTCACATTGTTGGTCCTGGCGGCGTGATGTAAGGGCGTCTCATGGAGCCTAGTGGCATTGACGTGCACACCTGCACACAAACATATGACAAAAAGACTACTCTTTTGTTTGTTTATAAATGAATAGGTAATACTTTAGTTTAGGTCACAATTCATAGTATTAACAAACCTTTAACTAACACTACTAGCTTAATAAAATATTAATTAGCTGTTTATTAATATTTAGTACAGTAGAAGTTAGGCTAAAGTATTGGGTAGGATTAGGAATGTAGAATAAGATCATACTTACAACTAATCAACCCCCATCAACTACTAATACACAGTTAATATTTTAATAATAATAAGTAATACAACAGTAGTAAACAGAATGAATTGTGACCTAAACTAAAACGTAAGAGATGATTACAATGCTTTCCTTTAAAGATTTCAAATTTCTCTGAGGTTTGTATAATGAAGAATGAGAATGTGTCATTATTTAAATTCATCATCTGTATTTACCTGCATTTAATAGCACCTTGACACATTCGAGTCGTCGGTTGGCGCATGCCACATGTAGAGGAGTACCATGGTAAAGGTCATACGCCTCGAGACTGGCACCTTTAGCAATCACTAACCTCACACAGTCTGCATTACCTGAATAACACAGAATGTTCTTACATTATGCAGTGAATAGAAACAACTAATTATTTTTCTCAAGAAAGTTTAGCAAAGTAAATCAATAAATGTATAAAATTCTCTTAAATATTTTTTGTATTATTAACAGGTCAATTAAAAAAAAAAAATTTTTTACCTGATATTTGATAATTTTAAATAAAACAAACAAACCATAGGAATTATAAAAGGTCGAACAATTAAACAATAAAACAATTACTGCATAATTTATGAAAATGTATTTTTTTTAAATAATTAAAAATGTTATTTATGCATTTGAGGTATATATATATATATATATATATATATATATATATATATATATATATATATATATATATTTTATTTATATACATTATATATATATATATATATATATATATATATATATATATATATATTTTTTTTTTTTTTTTTTTTTTTTTTTTCATCAAAATAATTAATGCATTATGAATAAATAAAAAATACTTAACATATAGTAGGTAATAATGTAATAGCACACATTATAAAATATATTTATGTAAAAACTACAGAGCCTATACTACTAGCAAAATAGCTACTAGCATATTTTAAAACACTTTTATTTATTATATTTTTGTTTAGTAAATAAATTGTTAAATTAAATAATACTTTCACTATAAATGTATACAAATATTTGAAAGATTATGTACTACTGTAACAATTATAAAAGAAAAAAACACAATGTAAAAATTATTTTGAACCTTGTAATAATTATACATTATAAATAACTATTACAAATCCTGTATTTGCCATAAATGTTAGCAAAACCTAATCATTTTTTATTTTATTTTATAATTTGAAAACTGTATTTCTTAAAAATACACTGATACAATTTCACATGAAAGCACCAGACCTCCCATGCAGGCCTCATGAAGAGGTGAAGTGGTCCGCGAGGTGAGGGTTGGGTTGACTTTTGCTCCATAATCCAGAAGCAGCCTCACACACTCAAAGTTCCCGATGGAGCAGGCTTCACACAGCGGAGTGCTGCCATCCACGTTCCTTGCATCAACCTGCAACAAAACCCAGAAGAAACCGCTTTAAACACTGCACTTAAAAAGGCTTATTTACAGCTCCCCTAGCGTTAAACAGTACAGTTTTAACCATTTTTTTTAATCAATTCAATCTCTGAGTCTGGCAAGAGCATGTTTAGTTTAGCTTAGCTTAGCATAGATTATTGAATCGGATTAGACCATTAGCATCTCTGTAAAAAAAAAAAAAAAGATTATAATAATTACTTTTTAAAACTTCTGTGGTAAAACTGTTCACTAAGTCTGACGAAAGTTCCTTGATTATTACCTCAAAGTGAGAATATAGTTCCTAGCCACATTGACAACAACTTTTCATTTTCTGTCAGTCTTAGTATACGATGTAACTATAGAAGATTCAAACTGAAAAAAAAAAAAATTTAATTTGTTGAGCAAGATGCTAATGGTCTAATCTGATTCAATGATTTATGCTTAGCTAGGCTAAAAGTGCTGCCATTAGACGCAAAAATCAGCTGAATGGATTGAAAAATTTTAACTAACACTAGGGGAGTTGTAAAATTAACCTATTACCTACACTTGAGTTGTCTGAATCATTTTTGAGGACAGTACATGTGTAGCTGTTTGATACCTGAGCTCCTGCATCCAGCAGAAGTCTCACACACTGCGTCTGTCCGCGAGCAGCTGCTTCATGAAGAGGAGTGATGGAGTCCACAGCCACGATATTTACTGATGCTCCGCTCGAAATCAAATCCTGCAGCACCGACACCTCACCCTCATACGCAGCCTTGTGAACCTCCGTTCTCTCGGCCCAGAAACCTAAAACACATAACATACATAACAACATAACAACACACAAACACCATTAACACAAGAGAATATTTAACTGCATTATTTATGAATGATACACTGTTGTAATACTACTTTTAGTTTATGAGGTAAAACTTGATGGTTAAGCATCAATATATAAGCCAGATATGGAAAGACAACCTTTTTTATTTACTTCAAGTAAAATGTAATAAATAGTAATTTATGTAGTAAACATAGACGGTATATTTTGCTGCCTTTTTATAAAAGTTTTATTAACTAGTTGTATTCATTCAAGATAGTCATCACCTAACATCTTTAAGATAAGTAAAATAACACATTTTAAATTAAAATAGGGTGTAGCAAAAATTATTATACATTACTTAATCTAATATTTTCGATAGCCGCCTTGATTTTTCCTGTTAATTAGTTATATGTTATGCTTTCATGGTGTTTGTTTATGTGTGTGTATGAATGTATATATTTATAAATTTCCCTCAAATTACAACCGAATAAGCTGTATTGAGGATATATATCATGGATTTATACCATAGGTAATGACCTTACTGTTATTCAATGTCATTTTATTGTCATGCTAACAGTATAGACCATTTCAATCATGTGGTGATGCCATTGGTCCACGAATGTGTCCTGCTTGTTTTCAAACTATTTTAATAACTGCAACAAGAGGAAATTCAATCATATCTTAACATTATTGGTCAATATGTGGATCTTTTAGGATTCTTGGAAGCTATGGAAATTATATGTATAACGTTAAAGCAGGAAATAGGACCATTTTTATTGTTTACATCCCCCAAAATGGTCTATAGTTGACATCATATTAAAGAGCAATCCCAGCAAGCATTTTTGATGTCTAATAGACGTCTAAACAAAGTCCTCTTGACTAAAACAATGCTAAATTTGGGCTGTCCATGAAAATCTAATTGACATTAAGAAAAAGGCCATATCTAGACTAGTCATCAAGTTAACAGAAATGAATGACTACACATATAGTCTCAAATCTATTAAACGACTGGTCTAGTTTTGGGCTATTCTTAGACGTATGTTAGATTTTCACTGGCAGTCCAGGTTTAGCCTTGTTTTAGTCAAGCTTTCTACGTTTAGATGTATATTGAATACAAAATTGTTTGCGGGGATATTATGTGAAATATTCTAATATGTTTACAAACGGGACAACACGCCGCTGACTGACATTGCGGCGACACGCTTTCCTCTTGGACTTACCGATGTCACCAAAAAAATACGGTCTTGCTGTTTCCACTTCCATCCCAGTTTAAGTAAACTGATAGACAGTACAATTTAAACTTAAGACAGTCAGCCAGCTAGCTAATTGCAGCAGGAATTGTTTGCGTTTAGAAACGCGGCATATGCATCACGTGACCTGCTCTGTTTTGGTACTACACGCGACGTTTGTCCTTGACGCGCTCGACTGTGAATGCTGGGAGTTGTAGTTTATAGCGAGTGAAGAGCTGTCGACAAAAAGTGTTTGGACAAATAATAAATGAATCCCAGTGCATTAGTCACAGATACAAGCTAAGCAAGATTTTTTTCAATACCATTATAAATATTTAATGCATAAAAGACATTTTATAGAGGTTGGTAGTTAAAATATCACAAAAAGTTCTAAATATGTGTGAAAAGCAGTTGTACATTTGATTTTAACAAATATAATTTGCTTTTAGGGCCTCTTAATTGATAACTACGACACAATTTATAACATATATTTATTAATAATTATAATAAGACAATGTGGCACATTCAGAAGAAGTATTATTAATACAAACAACTTCTTAGGACCATATTCAGATATGTAAACTGTAGACCTACATTTTTCTGGATATATTATGTGGGTTAAATGTTAATATGTGTGGTATTATATAATGTATTCTGTAACATTTCTTCCAAATTTCAAATAAAATTAATGCATTAAATCAAATAAACAGCAGCTTCAGTAAATTATTGAGAGATGTCTGGATGCAGACCCGGTGCAGTGCAATCTGAGTTGCATCCAATGCTTTTTAATGCGCTCACCAAACCCCACAATCTCAGCTTGCATCATAAATGCTGCATCCAGATACCATTAAAATTAATAGATGTCTGTCTCTTGCAAAATTAAGACTCCACAAAATGTAATACACAAGTCTATTCAGAACTGATCAATGATTTAAACATGAGGTAATCAATGATGCGCTGTGAAATGTCTAGTTTGGGGATCAGCTCCATTGCTCTGGTGCCCACCATAGTCCTTATGATGATACGACACAGCTGCTGCAGAGACAGAGGGTTACCTACAAAAATAATACAAATAATAAAATACAAATGCACAGTCAATTAAACAATGCGAGACTTCTCATAAGATATCCCACATACAAAACTTCAACATACTGCCATATTGAAGAAGACAAAGATTAGTAGGAGAATCTGGCTTTGTGTAGTCTCTAGGTATATGATCCAAGTTATCACTTATGTTGACATCTCCACCGAACTCCACCAGCAGCTCCACCAGATCCTCTCTCTCCGCTCTCGCCGCATGATGCAGTGCCGTCTCATGGAACTTTGTGGCATTCACTTTTGCACCTTTGAAAAAAAAAGAAGAAGATATCGCAAAATTAGTGAGATCACAATGGTGGAATTTATAATGTGATAAGATAGCTTAAAGTACAAATTAAATATGATTTTGTAAGCTCACATTGCTAGTTTTGTGGGGAACAATTCATATAAGCAATGGCATTAAGAAAAAAAATAGTTTGCCCTTGTAATCTAAAATTAAAATCTGAACATGCGCTTTCTATTTGTTTTTAGTTCAGTTCTCAGATTATTCTGTCTGAGCTATCGGCCGTGGTTAAGATACATAACCACGCCCCTCCAACTGTCAATTTTGACAACAACCCTTTTCCCCTAAATATAATACATCCAATCAGCTTGCAGTCCAAAAAAAAAAAAAACAGCCACGCCTACTTATCTAATTTAACATTCCATTTCTCTACGAACTGTGCCCCAACACAAAAAAAAAGGTTGCAACTTCTGGTTCATGCAGACTTTGAAATTATTGATACTCAAAACCATTTTTGATACTACAAAAAACATTGCATTGCCACAGATTTTATTTAAATTACAACATTTATGCAGTTCCTAATTTATATATTTGAAAGAGTGATAAATGGACAAAGCTGAACTGTGGCAAGAGAGACTAGACTTAAAATCCATATTTTTTGTCAACACAATGCAACAGAAGTGGTTTATATGAAGGCAAAGGCCTCTAGATGACACTTACTTTACCAAAATAAAATATGATCATGCCTTTATTTTTAATTATTTAATTAGAAGAGTAAGGTCTGACTTTGCTTAGACAAAAGTATTGTCAGTTAACAGAAAAAAAAAAGAATATTGTGTATGACTCTCATGAGCTTGGACGACTGCATCCATACATCTCTGCAATGACTCAAATAACTGATCTGGAATGGCAAAGAAAGCGTTCTTGCTGGATTCCCAGAGTTCATCAAAATTATTTGGATTCATCTTCAATGCCTCCTCCATCTTACCCCAGACACACTCAATAATGTTCATATCTGGTGACTGGGCAGGCCAATCCTGGAGCACCTTGACCATCTTTTCTTTCAGGAACTTTGATGTGGAGGCTGTTGTATGAGAAGGAGCGCTATCCTGCTGAAGAATTTCTTCTGCAGTATTTGTGAAGATTGGGATACAGTTCAACAGATGGTAAATCTGAAAAATCTACCTTCTGCCACTTTTCCAAATGATCAACTAGAAGTCAAGCTATTATTTGTTGCTCTTACAACTGGGCTTTTGTCAGGTAGTGTAATAATAGAGCAACAAAACAAATGGTTTGTTCTTACAAAAACAAAATATCTCACCTGCATTGAGCAGCAACAGGGCACAGTCAAAGTGAGCTTTAGCACAGGCAGCATGTAAGGGTGTCCCAAAGTAAATGTCAAAGGCCTCCAGCAGCGCTCCCTTTGCTATCATCAGCTTCACACAGTCTGGGTTTCCTGCACAGAGATGCACTCTTGATGAAAATAAATAAAGTATAAAAACAGTGTTGATACAAACCTTGCATGTTTCACCTCGTATGCAGGCCTCATGAAGGGGGGAAGCTGTGAGGGCGGTCAGGGAAGGGTTGACCGATGCTCCGTGATCCACCAGCAGCTTTACACTTTCTATACTGCCAGCAGCACAAGCGTGGCACAGAGGAGTACTGCCATGGATGGTGCGCACATCCACCTGCGCACACAAATTATACAGTCTTTTATTATTATATAAAGCTCATTTTTATTACTCTAAATGTATCTGCCACAATAAAGAAGACTTAGAATTTGTGGAATATATTTATGAATTTTAAAAATGCTATAGGTTTTTGTATGCATTCAAACAAATGCTCAAATTCCAAGTGAAATTTGGAAACTAAGTCTCGAACTGGTCCAAGCAGATGTTCCATTAACGCAAGACATTGTCTCATTTAGCTTAAAGGGCTTCATTATTCTAAGGGTAATCTGGATAAAATATTTCCAGAAGGGTTATGGAGCAGTTGTTCTGGACTGGAAACGCACCTGAGCTCCAGCCTCCAGCAGTATTTTAACGCAGTTGGGATGGGCTTGGATGCAGGCATCATGCAGAGGTGTGAAGTTATCCACAGACACGATATTAACTGATGCTCCTGCTGCTATCAGCTGCTGTAACTGCAGAGCGCGACCCAGAGACGCAGCCTCATGTACCGGCGTACGGTCTGCCCAGTGACCTAAACACACAGCTTATGGTAATTTATAACTGTTATGGCGATCATAATTTCACAATCTATTGCATAGCAATGTTAAGCACTGGGCATGAGTGTGTTGTGCACCAGAAGCAATGTTATAGAATAAATACTCACCGATGTCACCATAATATGTTGATCTGGCAGAGGTCAGTTCCATAATTTAATACTTTTAAGTGAAATTTAAAATACATCACTCGCACAATAAGCAAACACCATGCTGCTGACAAGGTAAATATGATATATTTAAAGAAGACGCTTGTGTGGTGTTATGATTTGCGACATTTCAGACTGAATACGGCAAACACGGAAGGGATTATGGGAGACGTAGTTCCTCCACAATACCAGCATATAATGCATTCATCAAAACGTTACTTATACCAGTGTTCCAACTCTTTCAACACCAAATTCAAGGACTTTTTAAAACCAATAATAATTTGAAATCGAGCACCTTTGTAATTCACACCACAACATACAGTAGTCAACATTTGAAGTGGATCAAAAAAGGTCAAAAGGTGTTGTTCAATAGGTTTAGGAAAACTTTGATGAAAGGTTTGTTGACTACTTTATAGAGTGGTATTTTACATTTGATTTCATTTCTGTACCTCATTGGACTCACCAAAAAATCCATAAAAAGGAAATTTGGTCCCATTTAGGTCTGAACAACATCGTCTAAGCATCAACATCACATTGTACAAATCTAAAGCATGTGGATTGATTATAATTAAGCAGAAAACACCTTTCAGAACACATGCAAAGTTTGATGCTAGAAGAATGATTTTGAAAACCTGTGACTAATGTTTAGAGTGAATTTTAAGCATTTGTGCACAAGATTAAAGAATTTTTAGCTTTAGTAAAGATTAAATGTATGTGATTGTTTATGAAGACTCGACAAAAAAGGTCAAAAAGACAAGAATGGGTGTTGTTCAATAGTTTTAGGACTTTTACGAAAGGTTTTGATTTACTTCAAAATTCATGGCTATATATATATATATATATATATATATATATAATAATTATTATTATTATATATACATATTTAAAGAACTTTAATACGCTTAGTTGAATCAATACTGGTTTATATTCAAATGCGAATTCTGGAGTATTGATACAATGCATTATTTATCATAGTTTGTGTATAGGATTTAGGATTTGATAGATTTTTTGTTCAGTTTTTGAAAGCAGCACTGTACAATAGTTGAAATAACACCATAAACTTTTAAATTCAAGCACTTTCAAGGACCTATATTTGCTTTTAAGTATTTCCAAGGCCTTGAATTCATGTCTGAGACTCAAGTACTTTCGAGAAGTGTGTGAACCTTATTATAAAGTGTAATACTTTCTTATGCATTTAATACAAAGTTAAAGCATATTTAATCATGCTGGAAATTAAAAAGTTCAGTTGAAATTTTGACTGTCATGTTTTCTTTAAAAATAATAATGTAAATTAGCAGGTTCCAAAGTATAAAATAGCATAATATATTTGGTAAATAACAGTGGTGTAAAGTAACTTATTACAAATACTCAAATTACCGTATTCGAGTAGTTTCTCAGAAATTGTAATTCACGTAGTTTTATAAATGTGCACTTTTACTTTCCCTTGAGTACATTTTTAGTGCTGTATCTGTATTTTTACTCCACTACTTTCCTTCAACCTACAGTCACTACTCAATTTTGTTCTTGTCTATGGGGATTAGAAAAATCAGTTCTGCTATTCCCGTCCAATCAAATAGCACAGTAAATCGCCTCATATTGTGATTTATAATTACAGCAAACTTTTTGGCATTAGAAGTGTCTGAGAAGATGTCCAAAACTCATTGACCCAGACTTGGATGCATGTCACTGATGACAGGGTTCATCCACATTTTTACTACTAAAATTCATTAACTTTTCCATGACTTTTCTAGGACTTTCAAATCAATTTTCATGACCTAATGTTTCATGTAACGCCTACATATCTGTGGTAAATAATAAGAAAAACAATGCATGTTCAAAGTTATCACAGCATATCATAGAACACACAGCAATCTATTTAGTTTAAATGAATGTTTATATCTATCTAAAATTGATTTAGATAATGCTCACACAGGACTTATAATGTCAGAGCATGTGTTTGACCATGAGCAGAAAATAAGACAAGTAATCCATATTTAAGTATACAGACATTTGTTAAACTAATTTCCATGACTTTTCCAAAACTGTGAGTTTTTCAGTTTTTCCAAAGTTTTTCCAGGCCTTAACTTTTCCAGGATTTTCAGCCCTGCTAATGAGATGAGTTTACTGTATAATGACCGAAATGGCCTTAAAACACCCAGCAGGCACAAGACGTCAACATGACGCCAGATTGACTTTGTACCCCAACGTTGTGGGGACATTGCATTTTTTTTGGAAATGAAAATCAGGTTGACATCAGAATTTAACCTCAGGCTGACGTCAATGTCCAACCTAAAAACAACCAAATCTCCATGTCTAATACGTTACCACTACAACGTCTATCAGACGTTGGATTTTGGTTGCCATACCTGACGAATAAATGTCAGTATTTATTGTCAATTAGTCATTGGTTTAAGATGTTGGCTCGAAGTAGAATTTTGGTCACTTTCCAACACAACCTAAAAATCAACGTCATTATTGGACATCAAAATAATGTTGTCCTTAGATGCTGGCTAGACATTGAATTTTGGTCACCTGACCTAAATCTTATCTAAAATTAACGCCTTATAACGTTGTGTGCTTGCTGGGCAATAATTAAATGCACTACAGAATATTACGTTTACACACATCCACAAATCACATGTAAATGCATCAGCTTTTCACAGCGTAATCCTCATTCCTCACTACTCTTGAATGCTTTTAAAAGGTCTTTTTGCTCATACTTTGAGTAATTTTTACAACAGAAACTTTTACTCTACATTTCTAGGCAAGTAATGCTACTTTTACTTGAGTATGATTTGCCAGTACTATTTCCACCACTTGTAAATAATGAAAAAAAATAAATAATGAAAACACAAAGTCAGTTTTCCACAAGTTAACATTTTTTTTTTACTTCGCAGTACAGAAATCATTTGAGCCCCATCCGTTTAGCATGTGTTTTTTAAAACATTGGTGACATTTTGCACAGGGCCCCGGTCATGTCAATACTGCCGTAGACATTTTGGTCCTTGCTAACACGTCAGAGCCATTAAGCAGAAGTCAGCAGCCGATGCCTGCTCCTCGCTCTGCTCTGAGGCGAGGGAGAAGGAGAGCGATCTCCCCAACACACACACACACACACACGCACGCACACTAGACAAGCAGATTCCAGACTTACAATTAAGCAGCTTTCCCCGCTGACGTGTGATAACCTCTGCGTAGTGGCCTTAGAATCACGCATAACCCATCAGAAAAGAGATGCAAGGCGAAAGCTGGCCCTTCCAACAAGTAGCACGATTTACAGCTAATAAATGGGGGGGGGTCAGTTATGTCAAATCACATGAGCATATTGCAAAAACGAATACTGTGTGGTCGGACATGAGTAGATTATCTACACTGTGTGTGTGCTTGAGACGTCCCTTCGATCTAAATTGCAAATTCAGGATTTTAGCTGAAGCACCAGTTGTAATCTGTAGGAAGTTAGAATAATGAATAATCCCTGGAAGTTACCTTAGAAGTTGATAGAATAATAGTATGGTGTGTGCTGTTAAACCTGCCCGAATTGGAAACCTAGCAGCCGAAACTTTAAGGTTGTCTTCTTTAAAGCTGACGCTGAGACATTTATTTATTATTATTAAATATGCATTTCTTCATATAACCTGAACACATCTGATCATTTGGCATCTTTGGACTTGTCGCATTTCATGTCTAAGCAGGTTGAGATAAAGATCGCATGATGGAAACTGAATAAAGGGCGATAAACAGTGCAAAATGGATCTTGTTTCCCGATTATAAAAAGCAGACCGGCAAAACCTTCTCCCCCTTCTCCCCCCTGAAAATGCTAAATTTGTATAACAGTTTACATGAATTTCATTACGGGCAAAACATACACTTGAATAGCCAGCTTGCCCACTTTTTTTTTTGTTTTGTTTTAAATGTTAAGATTATGATGGTCTGAATATCTGATATTCAAGAGCAGCTGGAGCTAGTTTACTGGTCAGCGGCGTCTCCAAATATGTCGTTCTTCTTGCGCTCCATTTCGGCAAAGTCAAACTCCGTGCCCGTCATTCGCTTGTAGATGTCTTTGATATCGTCACAGGTCGTTTCGAAGTGGGTCGTGGCATCATAAGAGCGAGAGATGAAGATCTGGAGGAAGATTAAATAGTGTTAAATAGTAACTGAAGCCACTCTTTTATCCAAATGACACCGGGTATTATTAAAAGGATAGTTCTTACAAAATTGAAAATCAAAACCTTTTCAAAAAGGTATTTTGAAGAATGTTGAAAGAAGGTTCCTTAGTAGGAAAAACAAAAACTACTGGAGTAAATAGTTACAGGTTTCTAACATTTTTCAAAATATTTTCTTTTGTGTTCAACAGAAGAAACACTTATAGTAGAGTAATTTTTCATTTTTGGGTGAACTATTCCTTTAAGTTTCTAAATGTTAAATGTATATTGGGGTCTTAAATATTGAGCTTGTCCACTTTCAACCACATCTAGAGATAATCAGAAACATGTGTTTGTAAACATGTATTTAATTATTTTTTTATTTCATTATTGTATTATTGTTTTTGTTACAGGGTTCTTACACCTTTTCCAACTTCAAATTCCAGCACTTTTCAAGCACTTTCAATGAGCATTTTTGTTTTTTTAGCACCTAACAACCACAGTATATTACGTTTATGTATGCTGTATGTTTGTATTCACATTTAAATCCATTGTGCTATTTAAAATTACTTAAATTGTAGAATATTTTGGAGCATAGACTTATTGGGATAGTTCACCCAAAAACTGTAAAAATATATTGTTTTAAAAAGTTCAGTTATTAGATGAAGTATCTTTTAAAGTTTGTTCTCTTTCTACCTGAAGTTAATTTCTCAAAAAAAAAAAAAAAAGAGCTTACAGTAAGATTGTGTTTGGGTGTAGTACCAAACTCTTATGACCAGTCATTCGTGATATTTCATGTCCACTGCTATTAAAAGTTCATGTAACAAATTAAATTCTTATTAATAGTCAGAGAATATTCCTGCTGCAAATTAATGAACTGTTCCTTTGTCAACCGTTGTGAAAATCCATCACCAAATATGGAAACCACAGTTTGTAAGCTT